CTGGGCTCGTTGTTCATCATGTTCGCGAGGGAACCATCGCGTTCACGGATAAGGGAATCCGGGCTGGATAGACTTGTTCTTCACGTTCGCACAAGAGGTTCGCAATCGCATTTCAGCAAAGGAGCTGGGGGTTTTGGTCATCGCATTCGTGTGGGTTGTGACACGTTCGCGACCGTCTGACAGAGTGGAGCTACGCGTTTGCAGGGCAAGAGGCGCGTTCGCAAATTGCTTTTGTTGGTAGTGCTACTTTTCTTCTACGTGATCGCGATGGATATGCCGTGATCACGATGCATATAACTGGGCAGTGCTTATAAGTAATCATTTCGAGGGCTTTTGTTATTTTATCACATTTTGAGTTAGAGAGCTCGATTTTGGACGATTTTGGAGGAAATTTTCACGATTTAGATTGGGATAAGTATTCTTGACTCGGATTTGGTTATATTTCATGATTCCAACCTTGATTTTAATGTTTGATTGATGAATTGAATTGGAGAAATTGAGAATTTTAGTAAAAACTTTTCTAAAACATAAATTGATGATTTGAAGGCCGATTTGAGGTCAGAAGTGGATGATTTGGTATGGTTAGAGTCGTCTTAAATGGGTTTTCAGAATTTGTGAGTTTTATCGGGTTCCAGGGTGTGAATTTTTGGGTTGACTTTTTTATTCTTGTTAAAAATCGAAGCTTTATTATCCGAAATCATTTTTTATGGCTTTTATTTATGATATTAAGTTATTTTTGCTAGATTTGAGTAGTCCAAAGGTTGATTCACGCGGGAAGGACTTATTAATTGATTGATTTAGCCTCTTTGAGGTAAGTATCTTGCCTAACTTTGTGTGGGAGAAACTACTCTGTAGGATTTGGTCTAATTGCATTATTTGAATTATGTAAAAGACGTGTACACGAGGTGACAAGTGTGTACCCGGGCTTATATGTGAAAATTGATTGGTTTAGACTCTTAGGTTATTAATATGCTTTTAATTGAAGTTGTTGCTATATGGAATATCTTTCATTGTCGAGTTATTTACCGTTTCATTTTGTTATTTTTGAAATTTTTGTATACATTGTTGTTGAGCCGTGGGCTATGCTTTATTGTGATATCGATATTGTTATTTTGGCAATATTATGACATATGTGGACATGTTGTGGGGATTAATTGTTGTTGTGCGGAACATGGGGGTAGCATTTCACTATTGATGATTGTGCGGAGCATGGGTGGCTATTGATATACTGTCTGGGCGGAGTGATACAAGTGGCTATTATGTTATTATCTGGGTGGAGTGATACAGGCGGCCATTGTGTTATTATTGGGGCGGATCGATACGGGTGGCTATTGATATATATTGTCTGGACGAAGTCACGGGCTACCCGTCCAAACCACATCGCAGAGAAAGCAGATACACAAGAATACATGTAGATGATCAATGAACATCACAATCATACTCTTGGACTAGTATAGATGACATGTTACGGTGTATGCATGTGCAAGTGTACTATCACAGCTCAAATCATCAAGTAATATTAGAGACACCGAGTAGTACATTGGGAACAACACAACAGAACATGTAATATATATGACACACACAAGGAAGTCTAAAGCAAAAACAGAAATACTCCTCTTTCATCAACAACATGCCCAGGCTATCACATAACATCCACATATAACCACCTTTATCCCACCATGTTGACAATATCATAATAGACACCCGTATCACCATGACGGGTGGATTGTGATATTGAGCCCCCGCCGGGCGGATTGTGATATTGAGCCCGTGATCATGCCGAACGTATTGTGATATTGAGCTTGTGACCACGTCGGGCAGATTGTGATATTGGCACGTGAGTGGTCCATGTGTTTGCGACTTATATTGTGGTACGAGGTCTTTGCCATGCAGAGTATGTCTTATGTTGTGGAACGAGGTCTTTGTCGTACAAGAGTGATTGATAATGTGGTCATGAGGTGCCATGTGTATAAAATTCGTGATTTGTGACTTGAGATTTGTGATTATGAAGTATGGTGCCTTAGGGTGACTCTTGTTATAAATCTTGTGTCAAAACGATTTGATGATTAGAATTGTCATTAGTTTTCCTTAATTGTTTTCACTTGTATTTTATCTATGCTTTGATTATTTTGCGATTTTATCACATGATTTCTCTTTGTGCCATTTATTTACTTTGCTTTCCGTTGTTAGCTTTATATTGATATGCACAAATTACTTGATTAGTGAGTGTCTTGACTTGAACCTCGTCACTACTCCTATGAGGTTAGTCTTGATACTTACTGGGTACCGACTGTAGTGTACTCATACTATACTTTTATATATTTTTGTGCAGATCCAGGTATTGGAGCTATTAGATTCAGGCACTGAGAGCTTTTTGATCGTGAAGATTCAAGGTAGAGCTGTTTGATCATCGCAGTCCCTTGGAGTCCTTTTCTTACATTATTACTGTCAATTCTCTATCCGAACAATATTGTGTTTCAAGTTTTCTATGTATTTAGTAGAGTTCGTGACTCTGTACTACCTAGTCTTGAGGAATTTGTTTTGATTAGTGTCGTGTAGGCTTGTAACACCTTTATTTCTGTATTTATATTATACCTTATTTTCATTATATTGTGTTTAATTGGTTTAACTGTTGTAAGTGATCGGCTTACCTAATTTTAGAGATTAGATGCCATCACGATCCTTAAGGTGAGATTTTGGGTCGTGACAAATTAAAAGTTTATAAATTAAATTAACAAAACAAAATATGGAATTGGCAACTCCTTTGGCACGTCAATTTGAGTATATAGTTTAAGTGCAGCTTATTAACAAAGGAAAACTATTTTTACAATAATTTGATCTGCTGTTAATTCAGATTATATGATTAACATAACAATAAATGAGCAACACAGCAACACAACATGAAAATGAATGAGAGAATTGCACGATTATTTATTAATAAGTATAATAATCTCTATGTTTTAGAGGCAAAAGGTTTGGTTAATCGTGTTCTTTAAGTTATAGCCAAATATAGCTTTAGTTTCTTTAAATTATTTCGGAAAGCAATAAAATAACAACAAAAGAAAGATTTTTTTTTCTTAATAGAAAAGGGAAAGGTACTAAAGCGGTTTTACCGAAAACGGTCTTTCTGTCTTTTTAAAGGAAATATTTTGATCTGCGTACACATTACCCTCCTCGAACTCTGAGATTAACTGGTTCTGTTGTTATTGTTATCGAAAAAGGTCCAATAATATCCCTAAACTATGGTATATAGCTCACTTTTTTTCCTTCGTTAGTAAATTGGGCTAGAAATATCCCCCCTCACCCCGTTAGCAAAATGGGCCACTAATGCCTTCAACCAAACGGCCCTCCACACAAGCCTTCATATCAGCATTTTATAGCTTACATGGTATCCACATAAGCTATTCTCTCTTCTTATTTTCCCTCTTCTTATACCGATATTCACCCATTCCCAAAACCCTAATTGTCATTATTCCCCAATTTTAAAAATCTCCATTTTCCCTTCAAAATGTTTGCTCAAATTTTCAAATTTTTGCTCAAATCTCCAAATTTCTGCTCAATGTCTTATTTATCTGTGAATACGCATGAAATTCAATATGCAAGAAGGTGTCATTGCGGATTGATTGCGCTATATTTGACAGCTTGGTCAGACGCCAATGCTGGGAGAAGGTTCTACAAATGTCCAAGATCCAAGGTTAGTTTTGAATTTATTTTGGTTTTGGTCGATTTATGTGATTCATCTTCTTTTGTCGAGTTAGGTCGTTCTTGTTTTTTATTGTTTATGTACAAAAACTGCTGCCAGAACTGCTGTAAATTCTGATATGGTGTAGGTTAGTTCTTGCGGGTATTTTTAATAGATTGACGAAGAGCTTCTTCGTCGAGCGGTGATGGTGATCAAAGATTTGAAAACTAAGCTTGATACTGCTAAGGCTGAGAGGAGCAATTTGAGGAATAAAGTTTACCTCATGGAACAAGTTACGATGGTTCAAAAGGGCTCTAAGAACTTGTTTGATGAAATGAAAGAAATTATAACGATTGAAAGGCATACTTTGAAGATGAAACTTGACGAAATGGAGCAATTTCAAGTTGTGGAAGTTGAAAAAGCTAGTAATTTAGAGGTCAAAGTGAAGAAGATGAGAAATATCATTTTGGTTTCATGGGCTTTATTATTATCTTTGGTTGTCGTAGGGATGATGAAGTGAATGTATGTTATTTTAATATGTTGTTGTAGTATTTTGGTTTAGTTATAGGGATGATGAAGTTAATGTATGTTGGTTTAGTATGTTGTAGTATGTTGGTTTAGTATATTGTAGTATTTTGGTTAAATCATTCCTCCTGTTTCATAATGAAGATTATGCTGTTTTAAAACAACAACACTGTTGTGCAACGACCACTGCTGTGCAAACTAAGTTCCTTTCTGTTAGTCATTAGTTGATTTATTTACCTGCAGGCTGTCCATTTAGAAAGGCACAAAGTGTGTGTTGCATTAAATCCTAGCAAATGCATGTGCAATATTATATTTTATGAGTATACTTAAATATGGGAATCGATTCCAGTGGATATCTATCTTGTCTCATTATAAATACATAAATATCTCAATAAAGTGAACTTGATTGATTAATTTGTCCAGCAAAAACTTGTATAATATATATTTTATCCGATTAGTTTGTACTTAATTAAGTGGGTCAAAGCATTCACAATCCGTTTTCACATACTAAAATGGAGAGTATTCACAATTTGCTGTGCAAAATATCACCAAACACCACTGTTGTCTAAACATGTATACTACTGCTGCAATACAGCTACTATCAAAACAACACTGTTGTGCAAACTAAACTAAACATGACTGCTGCAACAATACAGCTACTATCAAAACAGCATTGCTGTGCAAAATATCACCAAACACCTAAATATCAAACAACTGCACTGCTGTGCAAAATATCAAAACAAAACATATAATGTTATATGTCATTCTGCCATCAAAACATGTTTACTGCTGCTATAAAATAACTACTAAACCAAACAGCACTGCTGTAATACTAGTTTTACAGTACAAACCAAAACATCAAAACAAAAGGGTTCTGTGAGTTCCCAGATTTGCAACTACATACAATAACCAAGATTCCTAGATGTGTGAGTTCCCATTGAGTTTCCCACACTTCAACTTCCCAACTTTCTTTTGTCTTGCCACTTCCAATTGATTTCTAGTCACAACTTCTTTGCCTTTCCAAGTGAGCTTAGTAGGTGAGTAAGGAAGATCAGTGGGATAACTGACATCAGTATGATCTTCTCTGAAAGAGATGACTCTTGTCCCTGCTGAGGTCAATTATTGTTGCCTCATCAGTAGTCGTATTTGATCTTCAGAAATAATCTTAGGCATTAAAGCAGGGTCACTTTCATGCTCACTACCATCACCAAAGGGTTCTGTTTGGTGTCTTGGTACTCTTGGTGTAGGCATGAACACAAATTCACTTTCATATTTACCTTCTTGTGTTGGTTGAGGGGCTGAACAACTAACATCCTCAATATTTCCTTCAGCACCAACCTATTAAAAAGAAAAACTTTCTATTAAATAACTGCAATTATATAAGAAGAAAGATAAGTTAAGAAGTAAGTACCTTGCATGTCCTTGAATTATGGTCCAGTTCACCACAAATGTTGCATGTCATTCTAGCTCCCCTTCTTGATGCAGCCCAATCTCCTTGTCTCTTGTTAGCCTCATCCTTCTCCCTATTTCTTTTGACTTTTGGCTTTCCAACAGTTTTGGCAAGTGGAGGAGGGTCCATAGCATGTTCTGGTAATACTTTCCAGAACTTTTCACCTCTAACAGGCATCAACTTGGCCCTATATGTCATCAGGTAAGCTTCCTTGCTGTGCCACCAACTAATTTCAGTCATTGGATCCTCTCTCTTGTATTTTAGTGCCCTGATGGAATGAGGGCATGGGATGCCAGTCAACTGCCAGGATCTATAAGTGCATTTTTTCTCCACTAGGTTCACTCTATTTCTATCATCACCCTCAGAAACCTCATAGCCAGTCTCACCATTGAAATGAACAGTACATAAGTTGGCTACCTTTAAATAAGCAGCATACAACTTCATGCAGTTAGGACTAAATTCACCTCCCCATGTTCTAGCTTCTTCTTCCTTCTCTCTCAACTTGTTCATGACCTTGATTCTAATATCCTCAAGCATCTTCAAGATAGGCTTGCCTTTTGCTTCTAAGATCCAAGAGTTGAAGGACTCTGTAAAATTATTGTCCACCATCTGATTTTTGCACAATGTATCAAAGTAGGACCTACACCAATTTTGTGGTGGATACCTAAGCAACTCCTTGGCAGCATCAACAGACAATTCACCAAGATTCTTTAGTTAATCTTTAAAGTCCTCCTCATAAGTGCTCCAAGCAGACCACCATAGGTATTTCTTCATCTCTACTGAAATTCTGATCCTCTTACTCCAGTTAGCTTCAATATGCCTCACACAAAACCTATAATTTGAGAGAGGGAGGACAGTTCTTACTGCTTCTAACATACCCTGCACATGTAAATTTAAACAGAATTAACTATATAATAACTTAAAAATAACTGGAATAGTCAGTTAAGCAAAATCATAAGTTGTACCTTTTGTATATCAGACATAAAGGTAATACTGGTTCCATCTTTCAGATTCAATAAGTGTTTCAGCAGCTCCAGAAATCATGTCCATGTCAAGGTGTTTTCCTTGTCAACTACAGCACGGGCTGAGGGATAGAAATGATTCTGACAATTTTGTGCAATAGCCACCAATAATTTCCCCTTGCAATGACCCTTTAAGAAAGTCCCACCTAGTCCAATGAATGGTCCCAACCCTTATTTAAACCCCAACTTCATTGCATTGAAGCATATGTACATTCTAAGAATTTTTTTTTTTACCTTCAGCCATGACATCTTTTGATAAATTGATAACCACATCACTCCCAGGATTGCTCTCCCTAATCTCATTTGCATATGCTTCTAATCTGTTATAGTCATCTAAAAAGCTTCCTTGCAATTCTGAAGTGCCATCCTCTTAGCCCTTTTCAATGTGGAGTTATGTACATTCAATGAAAATTGATTTTTCAAATCTAGTTTCATATCCTTTATCTTGTATTTGGGGTTATTCTGCACCTTACTCCTGAAATATTCAGCTAAAGTTTTTGTTTTGGCTCTAGGATTCTTAAATGCATCTTGACAGTTGTGCCTTATCTTCAATGTTTTTATCTTAAAGCCAGGACCCTTCTTATCTTCGGAGATGAGGCATACAAAAGGGCAGCCTACTACACATTTATACCTTACTCTTATTTTATCACTTTTTCTAAGCTTCAAAGGTTTGGAATTTGCAATAGCATAGAAGTTCATGATTTTTTTGGCCTCTTCCAAGTCTTTAAATGTCATTAGACTTATCAAGCTCTTTGTAGTGACTAAGCTTATCATTAACTTCTTTACCCTTTTGCATCCTAAGTAACTCTAATTCTTCAAAATCATATTCACTAGCATCTGAACCATAATCTTAACTTTTATCACTATCAGTTTCACAATTAGTACCTAATTCACACTGATATTGACCTGAAATTAGCTCTTCGTGATCCCCATATTGAAATATCTATAATATAGACACAAAAGAAAATATAGAGGGACCACATGAATAATTTAACAACTTTGACAATAAAATATTGAACATACAATAAATTATTGCATATAATATAGTGAAAAGAATAAAGCACATACTTCAAGAGATAAAGCACATGTTTTGTCGATTTCAAACCAAAGTGGAAAGCAAAAAAAAAAAAACAATGTACTTAAGAAGAAATACACATGGTTCTGTCGATTTCAACAACCCAACCCTACCACACTATGATAAAATATGTGAAAAGGACACTTGCAGCCAAAGACGATGTACACCTAGGGCACAAATTGACACCACATAAGGAAACAACGAAGATAACAAACAAAAAGAGTACCAGACCCACATGCAAACACTATATATACACTAGAACACATGATCAGAAATACCAGAACATGACAAAACCCTAAAAAATTACAAAAAATAATTAAATAATCCCTTTGTTCGAGACATAGACCCAATAAATAGAAGGAAAAATTACCTGAATATCTTCACATGATCTTCAATTTGTGTTGTTAAACCTTGCTCGATCGTATCATCCCCTCAACTCTCAAATCGCCATGGAAGAACGGACATGGAAGAACTTGTGGTTTTTGTTTGGAAATGGGGTTTGGACCTTGTGGTTACTGACTTCGCGTTTTTAGGTCCGCTTATTTAGATATCGGAGCGGGTTTATGTGGCTCCGCTTATGTGGATGCCATGTCAGCTTATGTGGATGTCATGTAAGCTATAAAATGTTGATATGAAGGCTTGTGTGGTGGGCCGTTAGGTTGAAGGCATTAGTGGCCTATTTTGGTAACGGGGATATATTTTTGGCCCAGTTTACTAACGGAGGACAAAAGTGAGCTATATACCATAATTTAGGGATATTATTGGACCTTTTGCGTATTGTTATTGTAATAGACAATAGAAAGGGAAGATATCTGAAACTAGCCTTTTAACAATGTCCGTCTGTCCCCCCTCGCACAGTAAGTAACCGTGTTTCTCTCCTCTTTACGCTCACATGCATTAAAAAAATAAAAAAGATTGGTCTATTGGTTTCTTTCTTCTATTCATTTTCAGCTGCCATTTTGCTTTAAAAGTAAAGTAGAAAGTTTACTAAAATGGTACTAGCTAAATAGTGGAAAGAGAATCACCCCTGTAATTAGAAGAATGCGACAACTTGTCGAAATAATTTCAACAGGAGTTTGCTTTGCTTCTGCTGACAACAATACATTTCATTCAGTCCCTTGAATTTTTTTCCCTTTCTCTCCATTTCTTCTAGGGTTTCTACCCCATCCCTTTACTGCTTCTCCTCTAGGGTTTTGTACCAACACCCCTCACTTTACCTTTTTTTTAGGCCATATTCCTTTTAATTTACACTACTTCAATTTCCCAATTATTCGGAGGTAGAATTTTTGATGCATTTGAATATTTCTTAGCTGAAGCAAGTTGTAGCAGCAGTTACTGCTCTGGTACTGAAGACAGATGAATTGAGATCGACAGCCGAAATTGTAGATCTTTGTGAGGGTGTTATGGCATTCATACAAGTTTAAATCGGCCAAGATCGAACATTATTTTTACCTTTTGGTGATGTTAATTGACAATTGGAGTGGAAAAGACATATCACTAGTGTTGCAAACATGCATTTTGGTAAACTGGATGATTCTCCCATGTTCCGTAAACAGGTTTGTTCTTCCTCTTCTTTAGCTGATATTGTAACTTTAGGCGATAAAAACTAAGAGAATTATCCTGCTTCTTACTCTTTCGCTTTAATTCTTGCTTGACTAGTTAAGGATCCACTATTATGAAAAATTTGTTTCTTTAGCCACCAAACATTGCACTTTCGGATACATGGAAAGTGCACTTTTTCTTTTTTTCCTTTTAAATCTTAAATGCTACTACGTTTTTTATGAGATAAGTGGCGAGAAGGGCAATTAGTTTTCTCTTGATATAGTAATCTCAGATGACTTTGAGTTGGCAATTTCATAGCTGGAGCTTTGATGAGTCAAATACAAAATGGAAATGCAAGTCATATTTCAAAGTGAAAATTGAGTTTTGGTTGCTAACTCCTATGATGAATATATCCTTGAAGATGGTGAGTTTAGATGAAAGTATGCATTATGTGCTCCAATGAAGTTGTTGTTACGTCTTCGTCTACATTTATTTCAAAAATTTTGCCAAGTCAAACCTCACTGTTCTACTCAAAGGGAGAAATTTTTGGTTCTTTAAGTCGATCCTCACAGATTTTAGCTTTGTTTGTGGACTGATGTTTGGGTGAAACAGCTGCAATGCTTGGAAGAAAGTGCTGAATCCTTAAGAGAAAGAAGCTTGAAGTTCTATAAAGGATGTCGAAAATACACGTGAGTGTCTTTGACCATTGTTGGCTTAATAAACTATGCTTTGTTCTTTTTCATTTGGTTTCTTATCGAGCATGTCGAGACTATGAGTGAGTTATCTAATGCATGTGATTTCATCCCAGAACACTTTCCCTTTAATGGAGTGTGGGTTTCAATAGTTTTAATGGGGTTGTACCACTTTTTGGTCAAATGACTGCTTGAATTTTATTTTTTCTGTTTTGATTTTTGTAGGTTCTATCTCATAATAAAGTTTTTATTCAACTTTGAACTTCTAAATCTAGTTGGTTTACCATAACATTCTACTGTTTAAAAAAAGGAAAAGAAAAAGAATGTCTTCTGATTTCTTAAAAGAGGTAGCTACCTGGCGTATGCAACAAATGACTTAATATTTTTCTTAGAATCTTGTTGATGTGTCCTTCCTGAAATTCTAGTAGTTGAAAACGATTATTTTTGTTGGATGTTCCAGCTATAAAGACAGTACTTAATGTTGCATAGAGACCACAACTGTTTATTAGATTAGTGGAGGGTTGTTCAGTTGCCTGTCAATGGGCAAGGTCACGGTGAAAGCTTGTTAATTTGTGTTATAGGGCTTGAGTGTTTATATCAGTTCAATGGTTTGCTTTCTACAAGTCTTTTTTGGTTGTTTTGTTGATTAATAGATGCCCAACCTCTTGTTTTATCCTTGGTGAATTTGTAGTGGTTTTCAAGTATCAGTTTTTCTTTTCTACTTTCAGGGAAGGACTTGGAGAGGGATATGATGGAGATATTGCTTTCGCAAGCGCCCTGGAAACCTTTGGTGGGGGGCACAATGATCCCATTAGTGTTGCATTTGGAGGTATGTAAAAAGTTGGTACATATATTCATATAATGTTCGGCAGTTTAAAGTCTTTATCATAGAGTAATGAGCACTCCAAAATAGCTTCTTGCGCACTATTTTATCTGTCCAATGGCAATTAGACTGTTCTAAGCTTTTTCTTTTCTCAAGTGCTAATAACAATTGGCAAAACATGAGATGCACTTGGGTTCATGGATAAAGAGATGTCTCACAGAGTAATGGAAACGTGAGAAATTATTGGTGAGGGAAATATATATTTTTACAAGCCTCACCTTCCCCTTAGAAAAGAAGTCCAGCAACCTTCTATTCCTGTCTCAATGATCCACCATTTCACAACTTATAAGAAAAATTGTGATCCTCTACATTGTTTGTAGTCTCTATTCTCTAGACTTTATTTTTATCTTATTTTTTGTTTCTTTGCCTCACTGCCTTCTTAAAGGTAACGGTAAGGTATGCGTACACACTACCCTCCCCAGACCCCACTTGTGGGATTACACTGGGTTTGTTGTTGTCGTTGTTGTTATTGTTGTTGTATTTTTTGTTTCTTTGGTATCTGTCTATTTGGTATTGCCATTTGAGTGTGCTGAGAATGAGACATGAACATTGGTTTAACGTGGTACTTGTTTATGTAATCTGGAGTTTGGATCACATCTCCAATTAGTCACATGCCAAGTTTGACGAGAATGTCTTGGGGATTCAGAAAATTTCCTGGACC